TCCTGTGGGCGCCTCGGTGAGGCTGAGCCACGGACGGACTGGATCACGGCCACGGGCTGGACTCCAGCTGCTTCTGAATGGGGGCTGTCTTCTCTCAGTGTTGCTGGCAGCCTGTGCTGCGTTATGTAAGCGCAACTGAAAAGTGTGTTTCAGCCCCAGTTTTTCACGCAAAAGAATATAATGAGTAGTCAGGTGAACCCACTGCTGCTTTCCTTCTGCCTGAGCCATAGGGACTTCCTTGGAGGTCTGTGTCTTACCTATAAAATTGGTTCCCGTATGTGAATGTCATTCTGTAGCTCTCTTACAGTTGGGATTAATCTCATTTTGCTCTGCATTGTCTTCTCAGGGGGAGGCTAAGAGGTTAGGACTCGTTGGCTGGGTCCAAAATACTAGCCACGGCACTGTGCAAGGACAAATTCAGGGTCCAGCTGACAGAGTACGGGAACTGCAGGAATGGCTCAGGAAGACAGGAAGTCCCCAGTCCCGCATCAGCCAAGCTGAGTTTATCAACGAGAAGAAGATCACGGCGCTGGAGCATAAGGACTTCCAGATTTTGAAATAAGTTTGTCCAGGAAGAAGCCAAAGCTGGAGCATGAGCTGCCCTCACAGAACATTCCCCCTCTTCCCTATTCGTTCTGTCAGCCGATATTCAGCTCTAGAGAACTTTATTTTATTACGTTTCTAATTTATTGGTTTGTTGTACTGTTAGTCTTAACTCTCAGCCTTTCACAGAATTTTGGCAGGTAGAGGAAGAGCTATGCTGTCTTTATTAAAGGGGCTGTTTAGGGACATAGCCTTTTTATTTTGGAATGTACATGCAGAGTGGGCTTTGAGTAGTTGTACATGAATAAAATTTGTAATTTGTATGGTGTTGCGCTCACATGAAAGAAATCGCAGAAATAATGCTGATATGAAAAATTGCTGTAAACATGATTTCTGTGCTCTAAATGCTTGAGAAGCTATTTATTTTGTTCCAGAACTTTTTTCTTTAGAATAAAATTGCTTGGAGCTTGCCTCTTGCGTGGAATGGATGTGTCATATGGGTGTTAAGCGGATCGCAACCCTTCAGTAATGGAGCTGTTGCCAGTACCTGTTCTTGCGGGACCGTGTGGTGGTACGAGCAGCCCCTGGTGCGGCCCTGCGGGGAAAGCGTGCTTCCCGCCGACGCTCCTTGCTCTGGTCCCCTTGGGCCCGGATGAGGCCCGGCCTGGGACGGGAACTACGG